GAGATTTGGATCTGGCAGAGGAGAAGGTTCAATAAGGAAATCAGTCACTTTACTTTTGCACTTTGTTTAATACTAATAGGTCGACAAGTAACCAAGGAGATTGTGGCTGCTACGCTTTTTGTACCTTAGCGCGGCCCTCACCGCATCTTCGTTTGGATAAGGATATAAGGCTCGTAGCTCAAAAATACTTTTGAAAGAAGATTAGTTAGCTCGGAATAACAAATACCAGTTGAAACCATCATTTGTGTGGCCGAGCGTATATTGGCGTAATATCTCGACCAAACTTAGATTCACGTCTAACCAGCGGTTTAGCTCAGCAACTCCATTTATTATTCAAAAAGTGTTGTGGATCCTTGTGATGGGCACAACCCGGTCCGTCTTAAGAACTCACAGATCAAGGGTTGTACCGGAAAGTAGAGTCATCCTTCTACTATGGACAACACGGTGAAGAGGCAAGCATTCTCTCTGCCCCAAGGAAGTATCCCTTCCTTACTGAGCTTAAGATGTATGTCGGTTGGAATGTTGTAGTCCTTGCAAAACTCGGCCAGTCCACCTGGCATGTTTACCAAGAAGCGATAGTGCTCCATGGAGCCCGGTGTAATATGCTCGGTTGTATGTGTTGGACTAGTTATGAACAACAACTGCTCAGCCTTTGAGAGTACTTGTGTTGGTGTGCCTAGTCTCCTAGGACTCTTTATGGTGAAAAACCAAAGTTAAGTGCAAGTAGTAGCACGGTCGCGCGAGTGATCTTGGTTCTACCTCGATCGCGTAGATAAGTTGGGTATTAGCTCAGTCGTGCGTAACAGCTAGATGTTACCTTGGTTGTGCAGAAGGCTGTAATCCAGCCTGGTCACCCAGCTAAGCTGGATTTTAGCCCGGTCACGTAACTAAGTTAGGTTTTAGCTCAGTTCTATATGGTATTGTTGCAAACTCCTGGTTTGTTTGGTCCTAGTCAATTTTTAGATCAAAAATAAAATTTTGCCTAGTTTGGCCCAGATCTTCCCATGTTCATCTCAAAAGATGAATAGTACGTTCAAGGATGAAGAATCAGAGGCACTTTAACACTAAAGATGGTGCGAAACCCTAGTTTACCCAAATTTTTTAATGGTTTAAGATGCTATTATTCTGTTTCGGATGCCCGTAACACAGTGGGGGCTCAAGAACACGAAGAACTTCATGAAGACCAACAAAGAATACTAATGGATATGAAAAACTTACGGGTTAGAGCTCCAATCGATGCTTCAATCGGTGAAAGCTGCTCCAAAGGCGATGGCGATACAGAATTCACGAAAGGAATGTTTCAATTTAGGCACAAGATGCGAGAAATCGGGGATAGGTGCTCTGGGTCATTGAGTTTTTCCGTTGGAGAAGATGATAAATAATGAAGACGAAAGGGTATAAGCAGTGGTTATATATGTAGAAGGTAAAAAAATGCCATAATTTGAATTTTGGGAAAGAGTACACGACATCTGGATTGTTTGTACGGGGCCATTGAGGAGCTGCCATGTGTTTGCGAAGAGATGTGATGTTAGACGTTGGAGAAAATGCCGCTGAATATGGAGGGTTCGCGAACCGAGCAAGAATAACAACCGAACATGGAGTTTAGCTTAGTTGGGAGATGTAATTCCAGTCACACAGATGCAAATGGAATTAAGGGACAATTGATAGGGGAATATATGTGCCAGACAAATGTGCCAAGCAAAACCTCTGTGCTTTGACCTGGCAACCGGGCCACCAAGTCCTCGGTAGATGAGATCGAGCCAAGTAGTGGATTCGAATCATGGACTAAGGTAGGTGAGGCTCGTGTTGATTCTAGCCGAGCTACAGATCTCAGCCGAGCTACATCAGCATCCTCCGAAATAGGGCTGAGAAGTGGTCGAGATGATGCGACCCTCGACCGAGCTACAAGTTGTGAAGGGTTGCATAAGACTAACCGAGATGCAGGCTAAGGAAACGTAGCCTATGGAGTTGCGCACAGCGGTCTGGCAAAGACAATCCAGTCTGCAAGATGTTAAGGCAGACCGAGCTATAATCAACTCGGTGGATGTATGCTACATAGACCAATTGGATCGCAAGGGGGAGAATCCGCCTATCATACGCATCAATACTGTTTGGAAGTTTAGCTACTGTTCTTTGGCAGTGTTGACGCATACACATGTAAGGCAAAGAGAGGATAGTATGTCCACGCGTCCAAGAAAAAACGAGCAAGGTTGTGCGTACAAACTATATAAGCTCTGCGGCACCTCCAGGCAAAAGGTCTGCAACTTTCCTTACTGAGAGCTACCTTTGCTTTTGTCTTTCTTCTCTCTAAAAGGGTGCTAACTTGATCATTGGACAGGTTTTCCGGCTACACACTCACCAGGTAGCTCACCGTCTTTGTTCTTTTAGGCTAAGTGATGTCATTCAGAGTAACTTGGAGTTTGGACGCAATGAGTGCGGAAGTAAAGAATATTTACTCCCTATACATAATTTATAGAGATAATAAATTTAAGATGAATTCTCTTTCAAAAATATATTAGAGGAAATAAAATTAAAGGAAACTTGAACTAAGAATTGAATATTTGAGAGATTTAAGATAAAGATTTCAAAAAATGTATGAGAGATAATTAATGACAATCTATCTATCTATGGAAATGCAATTTACATTTTCAAGGGGTTGTTTGGGATGGCACTAAAATAGTATTTTTTTTTTTTTTTTTGTATTTTTGTCTTTTTTGGATCATATTACCTTTTCACTTTTCTACATATGTTTCCGTAAAAAATCAAAAAATTACTAAAATAGCTTATTCCCAAACAACCCCTACGATTGTTTCTTCTGTATTTGGAAAATTTATCTAGAAGTCACATTCTAAAAAAATATGTACTGAAAAATTTCATGAATTTTCTTGTAGTCTATTTAGTCCCATTAAATTTAAAAGAGATACACCGTAAGGTTGTTTTACAATATTTCTTAGAGATTTCAAATATGAGTATATTTCATTTCTATATTATTGTCGTATTAAGCTTTTATCTAAAGTTGCATTCACATAATTTGTTCAACTTCCCAATCATGAATTTGAGTTGCCACCCCACCAAGTGCTAGGGCATTTAATTCACACGCTAACTACTAGATTGTAATTTATAGAGATAACATATTTAATATATATTCTCTTTAAAAAATATATTAAAAGGAAATAAAATTACAGGAAAGTTGATTAAGAATTGAGTATTGGAGAGATTTAAGGTAAAGATTTCAAAAAATGTAAGTGATAATTAATGACAATCTATCTATCTATGGAAATGCAATTTATATTTTCATAACACGATATATAGGTTTAAGATTGTTCTCTTTTTCTTTTTTTTTTCTTTTTTTTCTTTTTTTTTTTGTATTTGTATTTGGGAAATTTACCTAGAAGTCCCCTCCTAAAAAAATATGTATCGAAAAATCTCATAAATTTTCTTGTAGTCTTTTTTTCTTTTTCTTTTTTTTTTTTTTGATCAAATTTCTTGTAGTTTACATGTGCTAAAATAGCGCATGCTATTTAACAAATTATTTTATTTGGATTACATCACTTCTTTACCACATCACTTCAAATTTAACCCAAATTTTATATTTTTTTGTAAAAAGTTAAAAAATATACTAATCTAACACTTTCCAAACAACCCCTTAATCCCATTGAATTTGAAAAAGGTACACTATAAGTTCCTTTTACTATATTTTTTAGAGATTTCAAATGTGGTATACTTCATTTGTGCATTATTATCTTATTAAATTTTTGTCAAATGTATCATTCTTAAAATGTGACAATGTAACATTATTTTAATTTGTGCACTATTGTCTCATTAAACTTTTACCAAATGTGTCATTGTTCTTAAAATGTTACAACGAGACATTTGTGTACTATTATCTTATTAAATTTTTATTAATTGTATCATTTTTAAAATGTGACAACGTGACATTATTTTAATGTGTGTATTATTGTTTTATTAAATTTTTACCAATATGTCATTTTTCTTAAAATATAACAATAAGATATTTGTGTACTGTTGTCTTATTAAACTTTTGTCAAATGTAACAATAGGATATCATTATATTTTAATGTATGTACTATTGCCTTATTACGTTTCCAAATGTAAGCATGTTTCATTTAAGAGATTTTAATTTAAGATAGGACTTATGGTTTTATAAGAATATTTATGGGATTATGGTTTATAAGTCATGAATATATGATTTATTAGTAAATGCCCCAATAATTTTATATGTACATAAATAATTCAGTTAAATTACTAATTTCATATATACATAAATTATTTTTATTAAATAATTACAAATATATTTTTTTAAAATTATTTTGTCCGTAGTCACCTCTTATGCTCATTTGCCTCATCACCTCAAAACCATCATTTGCGCAACTCCACTACTGCCGACCCACTACTTTTACGACCCCTCCACCCTTGCGATGCACAACTTCCATTGCCCTACCTCTACGATGTACTCTCCGAGAATTTTTTCACTTTACAATGTCCAACCCCCACCGTCCCCGCTCTACATACAAAGAGAAAAAATTAAAATTTATGTAAAATAGGAAGGTATTAGCGGTTGAAGGGCAAAAGACGGTGGGCCGAGAGGGGATGACATGGTTACCAATGGTAACGGCAACGAAGACCACGGGTAGTGGCTAGGGTTAAAGTTAAATGTTTAAAATTGATGAAGCTAAACAATATTATTTAAAAATAAGTTATGTTAAGAACTCCAAATATTTTATTAAATATTATAACAAACCTGTGTGGGACCTACACATATATGGATTTGTGTGAGTCCCACCTTATGTTAGAGATTTGGTAGAATATTTAAGATACATAGCAATATTATTTAAAAATTATTAATATGAATTGAGAAAAAAAATAAAATAAAAATTCAATTTGTAGTTTGTGTGAACTTAGTAGTAGTAAGTGTGTACTAAGACATTCCAAGTGTTATATAAATCAAAGTTGCCCACACGATCGCTAAATCAAATTTTATTGACAAATCTATCTCATAACTTTATTGTTCTTCCATTTTGTCATATCGGTGGGACAAAAAAAAAAAAAAAAAAACAGGCTTTGAACAATTGGCTTAGGATTCAAGAGGAACAAGAAAATTCGTTTTGTTTTCGAGTAAGTATTTAGTTTTTTCTATCATTTTATAGATTGAGACCCTTTACCTCTTGTGTTGAGTTCGTGAATAAACATCTGTGTATTTTTTATTTTTTATTTTTAAATTGATCTGGTTATTTTATTAATCATTTTTTTTTTGATCTTGTTATTTTACATTTTTTTTAATCCGTGTATTTTTTTTTAATTGATCTGGTTATTTTCCAATGGTTTTCATGGATATTTTTTTAAATTGATTGGTAGGTTTTTGGAACTGTTATAAACCCATTCTTCATCCCATTGGTTTCATCGTTTTAGGGGGTTGGGACTGAAAAGTAGTGAGAGACATGCCTCCTCAGTCTTCAAGTAATTTTTCTAAGATCCTGATTTCACTATTTTGGATTTGCTATTGTTTTATTTTCTAAATAGGGCAAATTACGATCCCTCTATTTTGATCCTTATAATTTCAATTGGCTTAATTTTTATCATTATTTTATGACTTTATCTCAATTTTATCCAATTGATTACAATTCTTGACGTGTGTTATATTTTTGATGACAAAATTATAAATTTATTTAACTGAGTGAGTTAACATCAACCAATAATTCAGTATTAATTTTTTGTAAAATTGAACCAAATTGATTAAAAAAAAAAAAAAAACCTAAAATTATGGGTAAAAAGTGAGTCAATTAAAAGTGTAAGGATCAAAATAATAACAAAATGTAGAGACCATCGGTGTAATTTGCCCTTCTAAATGTTTTCTAATGCTTTGAAACAAGAGCAAATGCTTATATATCATCTTCCTCTTTTTTTTTTCTTTTTTTTTTTTTGGTAATAAAATAGGTTTACTTCGAACTTTGGAAATTTTGATGGCATGAGTGGAGTCGGAAAAAAATAAATAAATTAAGGTATGAGTTACTTGTCAATATTCTGTGTGAATTTTACTTATTCAATTAGATTTAATTTTTTATTTTTCATATTTTATATTTACGTTGTATTTGGCTAATCTCGATAGAAATTTGGATAAGCAAAGGAAAAGGGAAACGGCAAATTTTTTTAACTTATATTGTATTCACAAAAAATTCCAAAAGATTTAGGACTTGACACAAAGGGTCATGATAACAAATAAAAATATATTTTATATGTATGCATGAAAATAAAAACTGTTTCTTTATTTTTTTAGATTGGGAATACTTCACATTTTATCATATAAAAATGATAAGTAATTTTCCCCATTTTAAATATTGGGAAAGAAGTATGACCCAAAAAAACATAATATCTATTTTAAAAAGTTATCCGAAGTCACAAATTTAAAACATGATGGGATAAGCTAGTCATAGGTTGTCCCCTTATCTCCGAATCAAATGTGACCCTACTCTATCACGAGGCTACTTCTCATCTTTGATTTGGAAAAATTACCTTAACTCAAAAATTGTCATCTCACGATAAATGATGTCATAACACCATGGAGTAGTATAACATTGACTAAATTTTAAGGACATTTAGGTTTTGCAATGTATTAATCATGGCCTTAAGTTGTTTCTTTTAAAGGTACTAAAGCACTAATTTGAATCACATTCTATCCTTAAATGCTTTCTCTGACGGTGATAGGGCACCATGTGAATCAGACCAATTCTGGTCTTACTTGGATATGGTACTAATTTTCTTTTCTTTTTCTCACCTTAATTGATTCAAATTTGTTCAAGTATTAAGTTATTGAATTGTTCTATATGGAACTCATGCATTTAAGTCAGTCTATATATATGTACATACACATCGTATTGTTTTATGAGTTTTGAACAGTCTAATTTGTGCAATGGAATCCATGTATTTCATACATAGAGGTCAGGGTTAGTAAAGATTAGTACGTGAAGGTATGCGTTTACGGATCTGGTCGAGATCTGGTTGGAATTTGGTTTGAATCTACTCTCTCTCTCTCTCTCTCTTTGGGTTTTGTTTGAGATGGAGGTGGCCGATTATATTTTGAGTAGTGATGATGATGATGATGATGATGATGGTGGTGGTTGGGGATTATGGTTGTGGAGTTGGTTTGGTGGTGTTAGAGGGAAGTAGAGGTAGGGGATTGGGACTGGAGTTATTGAGGTACCTCAAGGGTACGACAAAAATGTGTTTGTGCTTTAGAGATGCTAAACTAGTCTTAGAAGGCTATACGGATTCAGATATGGCAAGAGATCTTGATGGTAGAAGATCTACATTATGATTTCTGTTCACTTTTGCAGGGAGACCTACGTCTTGGAAGTCCACGCAGCAAAAGTGTGTTGGCGCCATGCCCCTAGTTCAAAAGGTCATTTCCAAGTGATTTTGACAATTACCCTAGCTGAGACTAAGGTTCATCATTCCAACCACCAGTGCTGGCATCACTGCTTCATCAAGATCGAACTCATCAAGATCGAGTAAACTTTCCATGCCTTCAAAGATTTTGTTCATTTTGCTCAGATCGGAATTAGAAGATTCGGGAATGAACACAATAGGTTTAGGCTCATTGGCAGGTACAATGTGTTGGCTAGGGTAATGGCTGGTTGTTGGCAAGCTGTGGGTGGGTTTTATGTTATGGAATGGCAATCTATTGCTGCCAGGGAGAGGGTTATTGACAGCTTTGGGATTTTAAGGTGAGGTGATGACTTTGTTGTCAATAATATCTTGAATTTCATGGCAAAGGCGAAAGCAACAGTCAGTATGGTGACCGTACTGTTGATGGAATGCGCAATATTGGGTAGGGTCGTGTGTAGGTGGGAGAGGATTAGGGAGAGGTCGAGGATTGAGTAGTTTGAGATACCCTTTCTCCATCAGTACGTTCAATGCACGGGTTAGGCTCATATGGAGTTGGGCGAAGGTTCATTTTTGGGAGGAGGAAGCATTCGGTTTAGAAATATTGGCAAATGAAGTGGCGAGTGTTGGTCGAGTATTCATAGGCTTGGGACTGGAATTAGGATCGGTGTTTCGGGTAAAGCGTCCCTTTTCATTGTTTGCTCTGTAATTCAAAATGCTCTCATCCTGAGCGACAAAAATGTAATCTACAGTTTTTGCAACAACTGCAAGCACTTGTTGTTTGTTCAATCCTTTGACCTTCAAAGTCTTAATAGCCCACCGGAATTGCGCACAAGGATCAATACTTGTCCCGGCTTTGTTCTTGCCACTTGCTTCTGCTTGGCCAAGGGATTGGGTGGCTATATCAAAGCGAGGCCCGTTTGTTGTTAATCTGTCATTACCTAGACTTGAGATAGTTTCGGGTTGGCCCTTTTCAACTGTAGCTCGCCCCAAGATTGGGAAGCTTTTTGATGGGATCGAAACCCCAAATGTCAAATCTGTCACCGTTCCTTGAAGGTTTTTAATCATTCCAAACATCTCAGCAGTAGTGGGTTCACCCATTTGGCACCCTTGGCATACCTGAACTGGATTAGGTGCATCCATCATGCATAAATCAATACTTTCTGGAATAAACACCTCAAGCTTGGGTAAATGGGTCGGGGTGATGTATATGCTGGGGTTGAAGGTAGATGGGACGATATGGATGAGGTTAAGGTGGGCAGGAGATATTCGGTCATGGATGGGAAGTGGGTTGGTGGTAACATTAGGGTCTTGAGGTGGAGCTATTATCTGGTTGTCAACGAGATTCTGAATCTCATGACGAAGGCGGTAGCAATGATCAGTGCCATGACCGTGTCGCTGTTGATACACGCAGTATTTGGTGGGGTTATATCTGGCAGGGAGTGGATCAGGAAGAGGTTAGGGATCAAGGGCCTTGAGATACCTTTTTTGATCAGGACTTTTAGTGCGTTGGTTAGGCTCATAAAGAGGGAGGTGAAAGTTCTGCCTTGAGCTCGGGTTAGACCGGCTGTTTGTGGGTTGGCATTGGCAAATGGGTCGGCAGTTTTGGGAGTGGCGACGGTGTTGATTTCAGTGGGTTTGGGAATAGCATTGGTACTCCCGGAAAACACCCTCCTTGTTGGTTCACTTGTTTAGGGAAGAATCCCTCTGTTAAATGCACTCTCAATCTGAACCCCTAATTCATGCAAAGTTTTGAAAGTGAATAGTGGAGCAACTATTAACTTTTTTAGCATATCAGGCTCAAGATTCTGCACCACTATCCGCACTTAGTCCCTCTCAGAAGGTCGATCTGTCATTTGTGCGGCCTTTGCTCTCCACCGTGCAACAAATTCCACAAAAGGTTCTTTAAGATTCTGGTAGGTTGTTTCAAGCTCTTGAATGGTCATTTCAAGTTGGGTATTGTAAAAGTACTGATTGACAAACGCCTTAGCCAACTCTTCCCAATTCTGCTTCACTTTATCCTCCAACTTGGCATACCAGGTGGCTGCTATGCCTGACAGGATTCTTCCATACAGAGAGAGTTTCTGAGGCTTAGTCAGACCCATTGGTTTCAGTTCGTCCAAGAAAAGCCAGATATGTACCATAGGATCTCCAGACCCGTCGAAACGGTCAATGTGTGGGATTTTGAATCTGTCTGGGAGTCTTACGGCAGCCTCGGTGTACCCATCCTCAATGTCGGGAATGGAGGTAATTACTTGTGCCTTTTTGAATTACTTCTCAAGGTTAGCAATTTTTAACAAGGTCGGATCGAGATCATTAGTATCAATGGGATAAAGCCCCTCATTAGGCTGCAACAGGGGTTTGAAAACTTGAGCTTGAGCCAACCCTTCTCGAGGATTCGGACCTTGCAAATCTTCAGTTGGCGGAGGTGGATCAAAGTTCGGCTGGGGGCCCGGGACTGAAAGTGTAGTAGATGCCCCAGATGGGCGTTGCATTTCAGCATTGGTCTCATCCTGCATGGCAATTCCCTGGTTTAACGTCGTTATCATGGCCACAACTTCTTTTGGACTATGTGTCATCACGGGTCTGCTGAGTTGGCAATCGAGGAAATGGATGGGTGTAAGCTAAGAGCTGACTAACAAGGATTTCAACCCGATTATACTTGATGGGATCGGATCTTTTCTGAGCTGGCTTTTAGGGATCAGATAGACTGGACCTTTTGCTGAGTGGGTTTTTTTTTCTGGAATTAGATGGACTGTGATGGGTGAAGGCTGGTACTGTTCCTTCCCTGGTTCAGACAAACCTAGCATTAAAAACAAATGCTCTATCAGATCGGGATACCGGATATGCTGGTTAAAGCAAAGCAAGATACAATTTTGGACCATGCTTTTGGTTTTGTTGAAAATTCACCTATATTAAACACAAACCCCTAGATTTTGACCCGAATCTGATTCTGATATGATCCTCAAGTTTGAAAGGAATCGCCTCAATATTAAGACTCTTCGAGGATTGCATCATACATTTCCAAAGTTTTCACATTTGCACAAAAGCAT